GTATGGTGTGCAAAAAGGAACAAACCAGGCTAAAGGTCATGTCACACACCCTGGTGCCACAGCCCAATATCAAAGAACCAGTGTGCTTTTTATCACCATCAATGGAAAACTCAGCAGTGGCCAGAGGATTGGAAAAGATCAGTCTAAATTCCGATCCCAAAGAAGGGAAGTGCCAAAGAATGCTCCAACTACCATATAATTGCACTCATTTCACACACTAGCAAGGTTATGCTCAAAGTCCTACAAGGCAGGCTTCAGCACTATGTGGACCAAGAACTCCCACAAGTACAAGCTGGATTTCGAAGGGGCAGAGGAACTAGAGACCAAATTGCTAACATGTGCTGGATTATGGAGAAAGCCAGAGAGTTCTAGAAAAACATCTACTTCTGCTTCATTGACTATGCAAAAGCATGGCAAAAAGTGAGGAGGGCTTAAAGAACCTCTTAATAAGGGTGAAAGAGGAGAGTGCAAAAAACGGTCTGAAGCTCAACATCAAAAAAAACTAAGATCATGGCCACTGGTCCCATCACCTCCTGGCAAATAGAAGGGGAAGATATGGAGGCAGTGACAGATTGTACTTTCTTGGGCTCAATGATCACTGCAGAGGGTGACGGCACCCACAAGATTCAAAGATGCCTGCTTCTTCAAAGGAAAGCAATGATAAACCTAGACAGCACCTTAAAAAGCCACCCTTCTCCCCGCCTTAATTCAAAGTTTCTCTTTTGCTTGCCTGTTCATTTTCACAGTTTTGAGTCAGTCTGTCTCACTCTCTCTCACGCACACACACAGACACACACACACTCCATTTCCTCCCTCCCTCAATGTTCTCCCTCCATTTTCTACAATTACATACATTTAAATAAGCCTGATGAAGTCCTTGGTCTCTCGCACCTTTCTTTCTTCCCTTCCTTGCTCCTTTCCCACCTTCTGCTTACTCGCATTCATTTCCGGAGGAAGCAGTCATTCAGAAGCTCCGGATTGATTGATTGCCTGGGGCTAGTCCCCAGCTGTAACCAATTAGGGAGGCTTATCTGCCGATCTCTAACAGAAAGGAGGATTTATGAGTGCCCTGCTGCAACGAAGGAAGTAACAGGGAGAGGTGGCTTACAATTTGATGTTTGGCTGCAGAGGGTGGGGGTGGGAGGGAGGGAGGGGGTAGCAGTCTGCTCATTACCCCCAGGATTTTCAGTTTTACCCAATTTGGAGTAATTTTCCCCTGTTCCCCGACCTATGGTATAATGTGACTGAACAGGCTAACAATTTAGGCCCCTACATACAACGTATGTGTAGCAAAGTCATCATGTGTAGAAGAGGCTTGGGAACTGTGATGCCAGCTCCTTCTCATTATATCCATGCACTGAGCATGAATGTGGTGATCAGGGAAGCCTACAATCTGGCTTCAAAATTATCTGGAATCCCAGTTGCACAGTTACAGATTGTTAGTTGTTGGATATTTGTTTGTTTGTTTGATTGATTGATTGATTGATTGATTGATTGATTGATTGATTGATTGATTGATTGATTGATTGATTGATATCCCGCCCATCTGGTCTTGCGACCACTCTAGGCAGCTTCGAATACAGGATAAAACAGCAAATAAAAATAACACAAAAATTATTACATAAATGACTTCATAACAATTTACAAACAGGAAAAAATAAAGTAAAAATAGAGGGGGAAAAAGAAAGAGAAAGATCAAGTATTGACTGGAGGGAAGGCCTGAATAAACATCCATGCTTTTAGTTGATTTTTCAAGGTACCCAGTGTAGGGGCCGCGTGAATCTCCGGAGGGAGATTGTTCCAGAGGCAAGGAGCTACCGCCGAGAAGGCCCGATTTCTTTTTTTTTCCTTCTGGGCCTCCCTCGCCATCAAGCTCCTCAGCCTCACCTGACTCACGTGGGTGATTCGGGTAGACCTTGGTGGGAGTAGGCGTTCTGGCAAATATCAAGGTCCTAAACCATTTAGGGCCTTATAAGTAAGCATTAGAACCTTGAAGTCAGTGTGGAACCGAATGGGCAGCCAATGCAATGCGGCCAGAATAGGAGAAATATGCTGGTATTTTCTCGCTCCACTAAGGAGTCTGGCCACCGCATTCTGCACCACCTGGAGTTTCCACATCAACCTCAAAGGCAGCCCCACGTAGAGCATGTTACAGTGGTCTAATCTTGAGATTACGAGCGCATGCACCAAGGTAGTGAGCACCCCCATATTGAGATAGGGTCGCAGCTGGGCAATCTGCCAAAGATGGAAAACGGCGGTACGGACTACCGACACCACCTGCGTTTCCATGGTGAGTGCCAGGTCCAGATGGATCCCCAAGATGCAAACCCCACTCTTTGCAGCCAGGGTCACCCCCCCAACGAGAGAGAGTCACCCAAGCCGCCAACCCCAAGGGCACCCACCCTCAGAACCTCCATCTTGTCCGGGTTCAGCCTCAGCCCATTTTCCTGCATCCATTGCAGTATGGTCCCCAGGCAGTGCTGGAGGGACACGACGGCATCACCTGCAGTTGGTGAGAAGGAGATGTAGAGCTGAGTATCATCAGCATATTGATGACACGATGCCTCACACACCCTGATGACCCCACCCATTGGCCTCATATATATATTAAACAGCATTGGGGAGATAATCGACCCCTGTGGGACCCCACAATTGAGACTCCACGGGGCCGAAAAACTCTTCCCAAGCTGTACTCTCTGGGGACAATCCTCCAAGAAGGAACGGAGCCAGGCAAACGCCAAGCCACCAATTCCCAACTCAGAGAGCCTCCCCAGGAGGATGCCATGGTCGACGGTATCAAAGGCTGCCAAGATGTCGAGGAGGACCAACAGAGATGTTCTAACCCTGTCAGCCTCCCTCAACAGGTCATCGTACAGGGCGACCGACGCCGTCTCTGTACCGTGGCGTGGCCTGAAGCCCGACTGAAATGGATCCAGGGCATCTGTTTCATCCAAATGATCCTGAAGCTGGTCAGCCACCACCCTCTCGACCTTTGCTGATGAAAGAAACATTGGCGACAGGCCTATAATTGTCAATTTCGTCCGCCGCCATATTAAGTTTTTTTCTTATGGGCCTAATGAGTGTCTCCTTGAGAGCTAACCTGCCCTTAAGGAAAGGCCCATTCTGTTGTTATCGGCCTGGCTGCTTTGATTAGTCAGGCCAGGCAAGGGTCAAGAGAGGAAGTGGTGGCCCGACAGCGATCAAGCACAGTATCTGGCGTCACAGGCTGAAAGAGATCGAAAGTCACCGGACGAGACGGATCGCTGGACGTCTCAGCTCGATTCACTGTATTCAAAAAAGGAGAGAGCTCCCAGCGGCTGGCCTCCACTTTAGATTTTAAAAATGCTGCAGACTGGTCAGGTGAAAAACTAGGGGGAGGCACGTCACTCAGACCAATTCCGGGTAGGTCATGCACTATATGGAATAACTCCGCCTGCTGATTTGAGACTTCGCTTATCCGGTTAGTGAAGTATGTACGACAAGCAGCCTTTACCTTAGTCAGGTAAAGGTTAGTTGCGACCCTGACAGGTATCCAATTGTAATCCGTTAGGTTCTTCCTCCACCTGCACTCTAGCCTGGCAGGTGGATAGCATGGCTGAGCAGCTATGTTTTGTAAATGTTCACAGCTGAAATATATGAAGAATTATTAAAATTAATATTTTGATATTTATATCTATTTTTTACTAGATGAAAGGTTATTTAGGTCTGGACAGTAGTTAATAACAGCAGTACAGTATCAAGTAATCACTTATGTAAGTTTGAATCAGCTGTCACAACTGACACTTGGAGATAGCATTTTCAGAATTCAATCGACTATTGATTCCAGAAATCGGTACAAATTCCCTAGGCCAGACGTTTGTGGGCTTTAGGGAAAATAAAAATAAAACAAAAACAAATCTTTTCAGATGTTTGTAATCACTTTCAGCTAAAAAGTACTACCTTCTATCAGACATCATGAGGATGGAGGAAGTCGATAGGCAGGGCTAAGATCTGAGAACTACAACACATTATGAGTCTGGTAGTTTCCTGAGAGGTTTTGTTTTGTTTTGTTTCCTAAAGCCTCAGAAGTCTGGCTGAGGGAATTCTTGGAGGCTTCTTAGGAGTTGTAGTCCCTGAATTCTGAAAATCCCTTACCTACTGATACTCATCAGGGAGAGCCTTTATATCACTAGAGACAATGCCAGACTCAGTATTCTTGATTTAATCAGCAGCAGCCCCCCTTTTTTTTTGCATCTATACATTCCATGGCTTTAATCCCCAGAAAGCAACACTGATATCACATAAATGGAACCCTTGTGAACAATGTAAGTACCTATTTATGTGAGTACGGTACCTTTCTTTAAGTTAATGCAGTAAAACCCCTGCACATGCTTTAATTCAGTAAGAGAATAATATGCATAACAACCTTGTTGGTACAGTAAACCTGAAGATTAAAACACCTGAGTGTAATCCTAGTTTGGCAGAAATTGGAAGCAAAATTTCTTTGGCCAATACCCTTAAAAAAGTGCCTGGCATATATTTAGAAATAGACAAAAGCATTGTTCAATTATACATTTTCAGTGGCCCAAATACTTTCATTAAGCTGGGGTGGTACAAACAGCAAAATGATTTTTAATGTATCTGTTGCATAGTGAATTATGTGACTGAGCTTGTGTCTACACTAATTTTTTAACCTGGGGCAAACTGTCTCTCCTTCCTTCCTTCCTTCCTTCCTTCCTTCCTTCCTTCCTTCCTTCCTTCCTTCCTTCCTTTTCTTTTTATCAGAGTGTTGCACAATTTAAAACTATGAACATATATGAAATATAGGCAAAATTGAAAACAAATTAAAATGTTAAGATAATTAGACTATTTTTGATCAGAAGTGGGGCTACTTCAATAACATTATCTCAGTTATTTGCTGAATCTTCTTTTGTACACTTGGTGGGGCATAAATTGCATGTACATAAGTTCTGATTCAATTTGCGTTGATTGAATTTCTGAACAGTCACAGAAAATGTATCCAATAGCCCCACTGTACTTAATCATTCTCCATACATTATGCTATTTGCATAGCTATGGAAGAGGATCTAGGCCAGTATGTTGAACATGAGTATTATTTCTGTAATGATGACTACATAATTTAATGGTTCTCCTACTACGGTTTGTATAGTTAATATTCGTAAATGCTTCTTCATTATATAAAATGATATATAATTGTTTTTGTTGTTCATTCTTTACATAAATTCCTTCCAGTGAGGTATGTGACAGAAGGAGTAAAGGATAAACTGACTACTAAATGTGCTTGGCCAATACAAAAATTCTATTATGGAATTTAAAGTACTTCTCAGTCCTAGCACTATGATGCCCTTAAATCTTTGTTCTTTTTTGTTTCACAGATTCTAGAAGTGAAGACCCCTATAAAACAGAGTAAATCTGATAAACAAATTAAGAATGGAGATTGTGATAAGGTAAATCAGAATAAGTAATCTTTAAATCATGCTGCTACACAATTAGTTCCATGTATGACCATACATAAAGCGCACCCACTGATATCAGAGGAAAAAGTTAGATTACCAATTTAACACACTCCTGTTGATTTCAGCAGATCTGTTCTCACCATGACTAAATTCTGATCCAGACTATGGTATCTCTACAATCTATGTAAAAGTATGTATCTTTGAGTATATAAAAAACTATTGGAACATTGAACATACTTTCATACACTGTTTCTAAGGTTGTGATTACACTGATGAACACTTTTGGATTTGCTCTGCAATTTGCATGGGTAAATTCAAAGTATTTTTCAATGATCTCATGACACAAAGGCCAATGAGAATCAGACCTGCCCCTTTTGTTTCCAATTCAGAGATTTTCCTGTGCCCCTTACGGCTTCTACTTTTTTAAAGCCAGGATTCAGATGGTGTTTTCCCTGTCTAATCATTTGTCTTGTTCTACAAAACACAATGGGGTATGATTCTGGGTAGGTGGTGCTTCGCATTACGATGTTAATTCGTTCCAGCGAAATCGCTGTAGAACGAAAACATTGTAAAGCGAAATTAAAAACGCATTAAAACCCGATTAATGCGTTCCTATGGGCTTGAAACTCACCGTCTAGCGAAGATCCTCCATAGCGTGGCCATTTTCGCTGCCCGTGCAGCGAGGAATCCATCCCAGAAAACAGCGAGCGGCCATTTTTTTTTTAACCCGGCGGTCATTTTGAAACCACCGATCAGCTGCAGGAAAATCGTCATTTTGCGAGAATTGGTTCCCGAAGCAGGAAACTGATCATTGCAAAGCGAAAAAACCCCATAGGAAACATTGTTTTGCGGTCGCTTTTGCGTTTGTAAAAACGTCATTGTTATGCAATTTCATCGTAAAACGGAGCACTCGTCTTGCGAGGCACCACTGTACTGAGTTTAGTGCTTGATCTCCCTATCACTGCATTGTTTCATTGGCTTAGCATTAAATCACTCCTACACAGAAAAAAAAGATAAAAAACAAGAGTCGGGAATCACCAGCTGAGCCATATCAAAGGAAAGGGGTCCATATAACTGAATCAAAGTAATTCAGTTTGCTAGTGTAATCACATCCTTAGGTACTTATTAAGCATTTTGGTATTCCACTTCATTAGTTCATCTCACATTTTAATTAGTTGAATATATTTTGCTTTATTTTATTCTGACTTTTGTTAAGAAATAAGGACAACACTACAAAAAAAAGTTAAAATATACACAACTTTCACCATCCAAATATAGATACCCCGTTTTCTCTCAGCAATTAAAATTCCACCAAAAACCTATGGCCCCGCATTTAAACTCAATACTGCACTTGGGTAAAAACTGTTCTTGAATCTGCTTGTCCTTGCTTTCAATACCCTGAATCTCCTTCCTGATGGTAATAGTTTAAAGAGCTGATATCCCGGATGAGAGGAGTCTTTCAGTATGTTAGATATCTTCCTCTTACATCTGTTCTTATACAATTCTTCCAAAGAGGGGAGTGAACAGCCAATGATGTTTTGGGCCGTCTTAATCACCCTTTGAATTGCCTTTTTCTCTGCCACTGTGCAGCTCGTGAACCATACACAGAGACAGTAGGATAATATGCTCTCAATCGAACTCCGATAGAAGGTGATTAACAAACTCTCAGTCAATTGTTGCTTTCTAAGAATCCTTAGAAAATACAACCGTTGTTGTGCCTTCCTGATTAACGCAGCGGTGTTTGCACTCCAAGTCAGGTCATTTGTTATGATAGTCCCAAGAAACTTACATTCAACCACCTGTTCCACACAAACTCCATCTATATGCAGTGGCTGAATGTCTGCTCTTTTTTTCCTATAGTCCACTATGATTTCCTTGGTTTTTTGGATGTTAAATAAAAGATTGTTTTTTTTGCACCAGCGGGATAGCTGTAATACCTCGTCCCGATACGCAGACTCATCATCCCCAGAGATAAGTCCTACTAGTGTAGTATCGTCTGCAAATTTGATAATCCTATTACTGGGATGGTTATTGGTGCAATCCGATGAATAAATGGAGAACAGTAGTGGACTAAGGACACAGCCTTGTGGAGTGCCAGTGCTGAGTATCTTGTCAGTAGAGATGTAGTCATTCAGTTTAACCCTTTATGGACGATTTGTTAAAAAATCCAAAGTCCACAGACAGATAGAATCTGGAAAATCAAGATCTTTAAGTTTGTCTATTAATCTGTGGGGTATAATGGTGTTAAAAGCAGAGCTAAAGTCCGCGAACAGCATTCTTACATAATTCCCTTGTGTTTCCAAGTGGGATAAAGCCATATAAATTACAGTATTGATCGCATCCTCGGTTGATCTATTTTCTTTATAAGCAAACTGAAGCCCATCAAAGGGATCAGGAAGGCAGGAGATAATATATTTCCGAACTAACTGCTCAAAGCACTTCATTAAGATTGAAGTTAGTGCCACCGGCCTGTAGTCATTCGGACTGTTTGTAGGCAACTTTTTAGGCAGTGGAACGATGACGGAAGCCTTGAGACAGACGGGAACTGCGCATAGTGTCAGGGATCGATTAAAAATTACAGTCCATATCCCGGCTAGCTGTTAAGATGAAATAGTTGGAAATGATTGTGTGTGGAGGAGTTCAGCAGCTTAACAAAGTGGGGTTTTTTGTTTCTTTTAATATGTAGTGGTTTATTTGCAGGCATATCTTGATGAACTAGTTGAGCTTCACAGAAGGTTAATGACATTAAGGGAAAGGCATGTTCTACAACAGGTAAGAGGACTTCATTGTACATTAAACGTGTGTTATATACTGCCAAGTTGATTCAGCATATGGTGATCCTAGTGGGGTTTCCAAGGTATGTGAGATACTTACCACTGCCAGCTCAGTAGGTTTCTGTGGCTGAGCAGGGATCTGAACCCAGGTTCACTACTAGTCCACTACTCTATCCACTCCACCACACTGGTTCTGAAGTTAAACATAGCGTTTGCCATAGTCAAGAAACAAGTTCTGAAATAGAATTTTGGTAATCCATCAGTACAGATCTTGATGTAATTTATTTTCTAAACGTTATAAATATTGGTTTGACCTACTGAAAAATGCCTTATGCTGGGACAATTCTCCTAAAAGTTCCAGGCAGTAAGAGTCTGAAATTCTGCCCAATACTGGCAGGATGTAAATCTCATCAATACAGAAATGTTAGCTCTACAGCATCTAACAGCTGCTTTAAATTTGATGTTTTGCTTGGGAATAAATTCCATATATATGTGGAGAACTATGTAATAGCTTTCATTAGAACCACTAAAATGTTACAGAGATAGCACAAAAAAGCCTGTGTCTCTCTCCTTTGCCAAATCACAAGCCCGTGAGCAGGGTTGTGACTATGACAGGGCAAAAGAGATCAGAACAGGATCTATGGTCCTCCAGATGTTGTTGGAGTACATCTTTCCTCAGCTTCAGACATCAGAGAAAATCACGAGAGGTCACAGGACTTATGTACAGTGGTGCCTCGTTTAGCGATTGCCTCGTTTAACGATGTATTCGCCTAGCGATGAGGTTTTTGGAGCAATTTTGCGTTCCGTTTAGCGATGTTTCCTATGGGGAAATTTCGCATAGCGATGTTCGGGACCTTGCTTCGCTTAGCGATGACAGTTTTGGTCCCCTGTTTTGTTTAGTGATGTCCGTTTTCACTATTTTAAGTGTGTCTTAAAATGTTCGAAAACTGTTTAAAATGCTTGGAATCGTTAGTGCACCTTGTAAAACCTTTGCAAACTTAATTTGGCTTTGTGGTGAATTCCCCCCCCATTGGAATGCATTGAACTGTAGGTTTGACAGCTGTTAAACCTACAGTTCAGTGCATTCCAATGGGGGGGGCATTCATCAAAAATTAAGGAAGACTCAGAACAAAGCGAAATGAAGTTTGCAAAGGTTTTTCAAGGTGCACTAACAATTCCAAGCATTTTAAACAGTTTTTGAACATTTTAAGACACTTTAAAAATAGAGCAAACGGACCTGTCAAAACCATTGAAATGCATTGAAACCTATTCAGTGCATTCCAACGGGGGAACCACGTTTCGCTTAGCGATGTTTCCTATGGCGATTTTCACTTAAGGACGGTAATCCGTTCCCATTGGAACGGATTATCCGGTTTTCAATGCATTCCTATGGGAAATGGTGTTTCGCTTAGCAATGTTTTCCATAGCAATGTTTTTTTTGAACCAGTTAACATCACTAAGCGAGGCACCACTGTATAGCCAAAAGAGTCTCAGTCCTATGTTGGAAACTAATTCATAAAGGATCTGTGAAAGTCTATTAGCAGTGACCATGGGAAAAACAAAGCTTTATGTGGACACCAAACCATTGTCCACAGCACCATTGTGCTTGTGACTTTCCAGATGCTTAAAAGTGTTGCAGATTTTTGAATTTCTGTTAAAATTTCTTTTGCTACACAAACTCACAGAGATCCACAGAGGGGAATAACTACAAGTCCCCCGGATAGTCCACCCTTTTCTCGTTAACTGCCACTTGAAGTCTCAGTAAATCAATCTGAAACACTTGTAGGAGAAAGAATAAAAAACACTATTTACATTTGTTTGCGTTGTGTATATCGCTTTCTTTACTGCACACATACTTAGCAACCAACTGAATAGATCACCAGCAAACAAGCAACTGCCTCAAACAGATGAAAGAGAGGGAAAAGAAAGTTTAGCAGAAAGGTGAGGTTCTCCTTTAATTCAAATCTTGGATTAGTTAATGTAGAATATACGATCACCTCAACCCAGAAAAATCCCTCCCAGCTACACAAACTACAGATAGCAAGCAAGGTTGCAAACAAAACTTGAACAGTAAATGGAGTCCATTACAAATAAAGTTCAGGAGTTGATGATCTTTGTACCATTCCTGTAGGAAGAGCATGACTTGTCACAGTTATCTGTTACATGGCTCTGGGTTTTTTTTAAAACTGTAAATTTAAATGCAAGGCCAACCTGGGTGTTTGAAGACCTCCCAAATCCCAGGTGCCCCTGTTCTAAGTGGCTGTCATTTTTGGTATTCATGCTTTATCTATGGTACTCAGTCTTACCAGTTCACCAGACACCAATGTTTATGTCTTTTTTGGACATCAGATTAAAACATGTCTGTTTACGCAGATTTTTAATTAAGTTTATAATAGTTTTTGGTGGTCTCTGAGGACAGCGATACTATTTCAAATTTTTAATTATATAAAATGCTGGCTCCGAGGGTCATGGATTTAATAGGTTTGTTTTGTGCTTCTTGCCCCCTCCCTGTATCTAAATTGCTAGTTATAGCTCTGCCCATGAGACTCAAATAAGGCAATAGGCAGCTGCCTGGATAACATGATTGATGGGGAACAAAGAGAAACTATTCCCTGTGCATCTCAGGAAGCTGTAAACTGATACTTTAACTGTTGTTTTTTTCAGAGCCTGCATACAATATCTTGCAGGTATAGAAACATATAATGGACAATACATCAGGACAGATTTTTGATGCTACTTTTTCTTTCCCTGTTCTGTAAGTTTGCCATCTTCTCTGATGAAGACTTCTGAAGCACACAAAATCTCACGCCATCTTTGTAACATTTTAGCTGTCCTAATAAGCAATACCATCCTGTTTTGTTTTTACCAAGGAACTGCAGAGCTACTCTGCTTTTGGAAATTGCTGTCAAAAATACAAAGTATATATTTTACTGTTTATTGTAAACTACTTGCATATGTTTTGCACACTGAATCAAGAAGATGTAGATATAAATCAGCCACTTCACCAATGAACTAGTAATTCTAGATTTCCATCAGTGAGTGTGCCATTAGTGTTTTTACTTAATGGGCAGCACACCCACCTTTGTTACCAAGGTGAGCTTGACAAAAAGCTGTAGCAAATCCTTGACAATCAACAAGCATAGCTGTATCGCCCACTTATTTTGAAATGTCTGTTTATTGCCTTCACAGATTACTGCATGTTTTTAATATGCAAACTTAAAATCTTAGATGTCTGTTTAAAAATGTAACATGTAAAATGTTCCAAATATTTATTTATTTTATTTATTTATTTATTTTATTTATATCCCACCTATCTAGGCGACTTACAACAAGCGTAATACAATATAATTAAAACAATTTTAAATAAGGGGAGAAACTTTGGACAAATATTGTTGTTTGTTATTATTGTTACATGCTGTCAGGTCATATTTGATTTATGGCAACCTTATGAATGAGTGATCTCAAAACCCTGCTTAGTTCTTGTAAACTCAAGGTCATGGATTCCTTTAAGGAGTGTTCTATATCCTATTTGGGAATCAGGATTTTATACTGAACATTTAAATTAGTTGTTTAGCATGTTCATTTGAAACTGAGACTGTCAGTGGATCACTCCTAAGATAATAGGAATCAAGGCTGACTACTGCACTTGTTTTTTACTGGTACTATGATATGGATATCATGCTCAAAACACATGACTCAGTGCTAAATTTCAGATAATCTGTGAGCCAGTAAATGATAACAAAATAGTGTATCATTGAATTTGGGTGCAAGCTGTTTGGGTCAAATCCTGTCTCAGATCTAAACTGACCGAGTGTCCTTGGGTATGTTCAGCCTAACATTTCAGTAAGAAATTTTGACTATTAAGGGATATTTGTAGTTTGGAGTCAGTCCTAATCCTTTAAAATAACAGAAGAAATTAAAATGCATAATAAATAACAGCTTTTAAACTAGCCTTATGGATTTGGAAAGGGAAAATTCTTTTAGACCTTTCTTAAAGGTCAAAAGAAAAGTTTGCCAGCCCTTCTTAGTTATACCCAGCCCTTCTTGTATATATTCATCTCTGCATTTAAATTGCTCCAAGCATAATAGATGGCAGTGAAATTGACGGAGAATGACAGTGTGTAAACAGAACTGTACATTAAAACAATAAAGTACAACACACATCATGAAGAACAAATAAGATTTCCTTGGACCTTGTATCCTGGGTCGTCAGTCAAAGTATTTTTAATGTGTTTTTAATGAGGGTAATCAAAAGGCTTGACAGGTATAATCTTTTTTTAAAAAAACATTGTTTTTCAGTAGATTAAGAATACAAGTGCTAATATTAAAAGCATCAATACGATTCCTCTTGGCAGGTGGTTAAAAATGCCCCTAAAGCTATATCTGGATGTACTTTGTGATTCCATGAAACTGGGGGGTTCATTTCACTCCTTGATGCTATAACTACTTCTAAGAGGCCCAAATAACATATAGGGTTCAAATGTTCATGTTGCTCTTTCTAGAGAGCTTCAACAGTATAGATTGTGATCAACAAATGAGATTTTATTACTTTTTTTTTTTATAAGAGCACTGCATTGCTTTAAAATGCATCTGTTAACACTTCTTAACTGTTTTTGAATTCCTGAAATTTATTATGGGAGTTAATGGAGGGCCCCACTTTGGCACAGTATCACAGAAAAGCATATCAAATGTAGTTCCTTTATATATATCTGAGAGTTTTTTTCCAAATTCTTTTCAGCTGGTTTACTTAGTCAGGGCAAACACACATTACAACTAAATTTCCTAACACTAAAAGAGAGGGAGGGAGGGAGAACAGGGAGGGAGGGAGAACAGGGAGGGAGAAAAGTCTTATGATCATTTCTAAGTCTGTATGTTATTACAACACAAACCAGTGCTGAAGAAAGAAATAGGTGACTGGTCCTTCTCAGCAAGTTATTAATTTTTAGCAATGATGTTGCTTATGGATTGGATTGATTTTTTTAACCTGTTGCTGATCTT